TGCACCGTTAGCCCTTGTATAATGTGGAGTGGGTAAACAGTTTCCGTTATAAATTGTTTCAATGGTGGCAGTAAAATTTCAATTTTGAAGAAAAAACACTGTGAATACCCCGGGTCGACTGCCCCTGTCTGGAGCCGTACGGTTTACACAGATTTCCTGGGCGAGTACAAGACGCGGAAATTCGCGTATAATAACAATTATTTAATGACATAAAAAAAATATAATAAATATGTGATATAGTGATCAGCAAAATCTCCTCTCTTGCTATTTTTTCTATTCAATTAACATGCTATGGTTATTAAATGGCTTTCCTGAGCTAAATGTAAAGTTATGTGACATAATTGTTCTCCTGCTGTTATATTGACCTCTTTCCATGGTTTAAAAACACTAATTGGTCGATATCATGTATACTTTCTAGCTGTAACGTTACCTTACCCTTGCCTGTTGCAATGTGAAAATGAGATAAATAATGGACACAAAGGAAAAACACGAATTTATTTATTTGATTTCATTCATTTATTTATTTATTGTTGCCAAATGGACAGATCTTTTTTAGTTTCCTCAGCAAAAGTCATGAGCAAACATTAGCAGCTAGCTTGCCAACTTGCCAAGCTATTTTCATAATCTTTAAGATCATTTGTACCTTCATCGGTGACTGGAGGCCACTGTCTAACATCATCAACCCAACAAGTCATTCTGCCTGTCTGTAGCTGTCATCGAGGGTGCTTTCGCGTTTTCACCGAGGTTTGTTTACATACCGGTGCATATATGTCTATGCCGGTGTAACAGCTCAGTAATGGCGTCGCCACAAGATGGCAGCCTACACAGAACGCTCGTCGGATTCGTCTATAAGCGATCTATCGACTCGTTACCTAGCAGCGAATACAAACAAAATGAAAGTGGAACTAAAATACGATACTCGTGATTAGGACCGTCGAGCAGCAGCACCAGCGACCCGAACCATTGACAGTAAAAAAAAGCCCCGAACTTGCCAGTCGCGGGCTGATCTCGCTCACGTGACACTGTTAGGAGATCCAGTGAATGAATCCGTTGAATTCGCTTCAGAATTAATAACATCAACACCACGAGATCCAGTGACAAACATTCCGATTCGGCGCAGAGTTCTGTTATAAACCATATATAGTAAGTTATAAGTAAGTTATATAAGTTATCATATCAACAGCGCTGACGTGGAAACCAGGAGAAACACTTATAGAAGGCTTTCAGTCCACTAAATCAGCAGCTCACCATGGATTTAGGCTAATGTTGTAACTTAACTCTAACCATAAATATGATAATGTGGAAGAAATAGTCAAACACTTACAAGTAGCCTACACATCTTTTTCTAGCACTTCAAAATCAAAACTATAATATCATATATAAATATATATTTTTTTGTATTTTTTATGTGATGATCAACACATTTTTTGTTCATCCTTCAAAGATTGTCCTAAAATAAACATTTTTAAGATTTTTTAAGACTCTTATTTAAACATATTTAAAAAATAATAACACCATTGTAAACAGTAGGAATGTTTATTGGCTATTTTCACTCCATGTTTTCAAATTAATAGTTTTGTTTTATTTAATATTAGGCCTAAGACATTATAAATGATAACTAAAGTTAATTTCATCTACACCCTAGTGATTTATTGTCAGCCCCAGTGCTACTAGATTTTTTTTTCTTTTTTTTTTTTTTTTTTTTTGTAGAACTCGGTGTGAGTTCTCAGTTGAGGTGGTGCTGCTTTCAAATTTGAGTCTGGAGCCCTTTGTACTTGAAATAAAACAGCATATCATAATGTTAAGTCTATTTATTATTGTAGAATTTGTCAGTATTACAGTTGTTTTGGGGGAAATTTGAATAATTGCTTTGCGAGCTGATTTAAGGTGTGCCCCTAAATTTTCTGAATGTGCTCCTAAAATTTTCAGTCAGGGGCAACAGTGCTCCTAGTAAAAAAAGTTAGTCTGGAGCCCTGAATTTTTATTCATTAGCATCACTACAAGTGTGCCAAATTTCATCATTTTCCTACTAACGGTTCATAGGGCTGCCATACACTCCCATTTGCGTGATAATAATAATAAGAAGGAAACTAACAGATACAATAGGTGCCTCAGCACCTTCAGTGCTTGGCCCCTAAATATATATGAACACCAAGTTTGTTGTTCATTTTTATAGATGTAAGGGGCTGCACAAAATAATAACAGATTATAACAATAGCAGGCAGCCTATATATTGTTAAAAAGGAACACTTCAGTAACACTACACTAGTCAAAAATACAGCATGTTACTACAGACGTTTCCATTCGTTATGAAATGAGATTGGAGAATACCTATGCCTATAATGTTTGGCATATTTTGCTTTTCAAACAAACAGCGCGAGTGACTCAAACTCAGCGCGTGCGGAGGACATACTGAACCGATCCGAATCCACTCCAAACTATGAAACATTATTGTTACATTATACAGATTTACGTTTCAGCAGATATCCTCAAACATATGTCTAAACATTATAATATTCACCACTGAAGAATAACTAAGCCTTCTTTACATCATGCTGTGTTTAGTATCAAAGATAAAATCATCTAATTTCTCCAACGCATTCTCACCCTTTAGCGTCATATAGAACGCTATATGCAAAAACGGCGCTATACTACGCATATGGCACCCGTTATCGTTAATATAACACACGCTGTGAGGGCTAAGTTTAGGTGTGGGGTAGGGTCTGCGTGTCATATTCACGCTAAAGTATTTATGACATCTTGGGTTTGCGCGTTATATTAACGATAAAGGGTGCCATGTGCGTAGTATAACGCCGTTTTGTCATAAAGCGTTTTATGTGACGCTAAAGGATGAGAACGGGCTGAATTTCTCACAGTGGTGGTTCAATCTCATTTCATAACATTTTAGTCTGGCACCAGTTTAACTAGTAGCTACAATGTAAAGTAGGCTATATACAACCATAAGTTGCGTATTGTTATGCGTTTTACCTTAAAAACTTCCAAACTCGACGAGAGGCAGAGACGCTGATTCTTTAGCCGTTTCTCAATACCAAGTACGCAAAGTTCGGACTTTGCAAGTCCAGTTCTTCTGCAAATGGAACAGAGCGTACTTGGCCGTGTCACTCAGGACGCTCTGGCTACTCCAGTTATCTCTTTATATATATTTTAGGCAACAATAAAACGAAATATGCTACAACGGCTATGATGAAAACATACAGACGGCAATCAAACGGAGTTGAGCACTAAAGTCAGAGGAAGTTGGGGTGGTGGGGGAAATGACGTATGCCATAAAGTGGTCGAATTTTGTAGTTCTTTTTGTGCTCATAGTGCCAGTAAAAGCGATACAGACATCTTCAGGCTACGGCGGACGTGTCATTCAACCTATTGTAAGTCGATGTACCATCTCAGTGGGTTTTGGAAAAATATTATAAAGGTTGAAAAGTTCCACGGTGTGCCTTTAAATCTCTGTGTGTGTGTGTGTGTGTGTATTTGGGATTTATTTTGTTTGTTCCCTCTCCTACAAAGCTCTTCAAGGCTGATGATAGTGTGTAGTTAACTTAAGTGTGTTGTGGTGTTAAAATATTTTTCTTTATTTGAATTGTTTGTGAAGAGTTGTCGTTTGAGACTATTTCTTCTTTTTTTACTGCCTGATTTGCAACTTTGAGAGATGAAGACATTTGTAAGAAAGTGTCGACTCCGTGGCATAATTGGAGATTTTTGGCTATAGTGGCTAAGAATAGTGCGCTGACATTTTTATGTCACAATCAATAGTTTTAAACCCATCATCAGTGTAATCCTTTACAATCACGGCCATTTTATTTTAATGCACTTTAGCAAGACCAAGAAAGCTGACATTTAATTTTATGTATTGCTCGATTGTTTTCTGTGGAGAAACTAAGATGGAATAATATTGATAATGAGAAGGACTAGGATTAAGTAAATAAATTAAAGGGTTAGTTCACCCAAAAATGAAAATTAAGTCATTAATTACTCACCCCCATGCTGTACCAACCCCGTAAGACCTTCGTTCGTCTTCGGAACACAAATGAAGATATTTTTGATTAAATTTGAGATCTGTATAACTACCACATTGGCTCCTAAGGGACTGCCTCTTGACGGCCCAAAAAGTCAATGAAGAAAATGTTTAAATATCCCAAGTGACTACCGTGGCTCAACTATATGTTTATCAAGCGACGCGAATACTTTTTGTGCGAAAAAACAAACAAAAATAACGAGTTTATTCGACTATTTCTTTTCTTCCTTGTAGGCCAGAACGAGACTTCCTTATAGATTTCCACGACGCATGCGCGAGAATTGCGATCTGAAGTAGTGTAAGCTGTGTACGCAGATCGCAAATCTCGCGCATGCGTCGTGGAAATCTATAAGGAAGTCTCGTTCTGGCCTACAAGGAAGAAAAAAATAGTCGAATAAACTCGTTATTTTTGTTTGTTTTTTCGCACAAAAAGTATTCGCGTCGCTTGATAAACATATAGTTGAGCCACGGTAGTCACTTGGGATATTTAAACATTTTCTTCATTGACTTTTTGGGCCGTCAAGAGGCAGTCCCTTAGGAGCCAATGTGGTAGTTATACAGCTCTCAAATTTAATCAAAAATATCTTCATTTGTGTTCCGAAGACGAACGAAGGTCTTACGGGGTTGGTACAGCATGGGGGTGAGTAATTAATGACTTAATTTTCATTTTTGGGTGAACTAACCCTTTAAACAGTAGATCTTTCTCTGCACCACAAGCGTAATTTTTAACTACAAAATCTTAGAGAGTTTGAAAAAGTTCCTTCTGATCCTTTGTAGTATGAATACTTCACTTTATTCATCTAATATTCATCACACACATGCTTAGTATTTAGTTTAATTATTTTTAAATATAAGCCAGAAACTGGTTGTATTGATAGCTTTTGGAATCTGTGATTCATCCTTTGAATCAATCCGTTAACCTCGTCATTTTAAAACATTTTCTATGGGGGACTTTTATTTTGGTGTGGGGCATGACGTCATAAGTCTGCGCCGCGCTCCTGCAACTGTGATTCTGCTAAAGAGAGGTTTGTGTTTTTAATCATTTAATCAATAAAACCCGTTCTGGCGATTACAGAAAACTTTTCCATTTTTCATTTTGAATGTAATATTAATGGACATAGTTGTTGTAAAGTAAAGTAAAGCGCGTCCACACGCGAGTAACAGAAAAGCTGCGTCTCATTTCTCTCTCTATATTGTGAATCAGTTCATCATAAACACGCTGTTTACTCTATACCGGGTAATTATAGAGAAACGGAGCTTTTTGAAACCAGTTCAGATTCAATTGAATCAAATGATTCAGAGTTTGTAAGCGCTCGAATCACTGAATCACGCTGACGACTCCTGCAGTTCACCAGTGTAAATGCAGCAACACGGTTTCCCCAAGGAGCACATCTGCTCATAAATTAAAAAATGTAGGAGCACACAAAGAAATTTTGGAGTGCAGTGAAAAAAAATGTTAAAGTAACAGAGTTTAACAAACTATTTATTATATAGGCCTACACTACGTGTGTGTGTGTGTATGTGTGCGCGCTCCTCTTTGTGTTCAACTATGGTGTGATATCATCTATTTGATTAATAATATAAATCACACTCTACAATCACTTTAAACCTTTTTACCAGAAGGAGGATAGGTGCACACCTGTGGACATCTGCATCTCTCCACAACATGGAGGAGAAACTAGTTTAAATCAGTATTAGTATCTGTAGATTAAGTAGACTCAAATCTTATTGTATTTCGTCGACTAAAACTAAAACAATTCAGATGACTAAAATATAATGGGTTTAGTTCAATTGTAATGCATTCATTTAGAATTTCTCTAAAATTTCCAAACCCATAATTAGCCTATACTCCTGGAGGAAACATCTATAAAACGGTTAATATGATTGATTTAAAAGTTTGAACATGCAATACAGATTTAACTTAAAAAAAAATATCTTAAAATTAACTAAAACCACCTTTCCTAAAGTAGTCTTCTTTTCAATGAATGACACATGCATTAATTATTACTACTTGCATACATCATTCTTTATTCTTTCAAGCAGCAGACATATTTATTTGTATGAATTAAATATAATGAATCCTTATTAAAGCTATTAACGAGCAGTGAATGATATTCTCTTTTTCTTTTGTTGCTTGATGACACGGACCGCATTCGGTTTAATGCCCACGGTCACTTTAAGACGTCGGATCACGTCCAATGAAATGCGGAGACGATAGCACTACATCCGATACACTCATAACTGTTTGACATAACCAACATAGTTTACAAGAATACCGTCCAAACTGGACATTTCAACATAATGTTGTGTATTTGTCCATTCAGACACGAGAGAGAGCTCAGTTCAGTCCTTGCGCGCGCTGTGTGTGTGTGCACGGTTCGGGTCGGGTGTGTGCGCACAGAAAACCGAAGACAGCTCTTTCTTTGCGTCGTCACTCTTATTCAGATCTCTGTCTGCTCTACTCATATTCTCCGTCTGCATTTTTAAAGTTTCATGAGATGCAGCGCATGCCGACCCGTGTGGTAGATCAGCACGTTACAGTACTGATGTGCGCATCAAACGCAGGACGCACGTTCTGACTCCATCGCTTCCCAAATCGGCACTATCTAACATTTGTGTCTGGTTTTTATTCGTTGACAAAAATGTCATTAATTTATCGTCATAGTTTTTGTCATTCAAAACTATTTTTTATTTAGTTATCGTCTCGTTTTAGATTGTGGTACGTTGTAGTTAATCGCACATTATGCTCGTAAATCATTTTTCGCACGTATAGTTTTTAGGGGCGTATGCGAGAAAATTAGCCTGTATGGCTAAATCTGGCACATTTACATGTTGGACCTCGTACTCATGTTAATTAATGTGCATTGTCCCTTTAAATAAAGAAACTCAAACTCAATGTTTTTACAAACTACTTTCAAACTTCTGATTAATTAACATTTTGGAGGCGTCAAATCAGACCCAGTCATAAAGCCCATTGGTTTCTATTTTTAACTTAAAATACTAAACAAATATCTTGTTTCTCAGGACAAAGTCATCAAAATCATGCTAAAATAATTAAAAGCATGTTAAAATCATCAATTCAACTTTTTTTTACAAAGATTCCAGTGAACAAGAGAACTTTGACATTCTGGAGTCATCACTAACAAAACAAATCAGACCATAAACTTAACAAGCTGTTGGAGCCAATCTTTAAAAAAAAATGAAATTATTTCATAGGAGAAATGGCAAACTTATGTGTTGAACATGAGCCAGTCCATGTTTGTAAAAAGCAGCCATATGTAAGATTGTGGCCAAAACTGGTACTGCAATCACTTTCAGATTAGTGTAGATTAGGGGTGTATCCCCTCCCCCTGACTCGAGGTTGCTAGATAGGCTGCAGGATCCAACATTTGTTTATCCGACACTGCAGCACTAGAGCAGAGTTGGCAACCTGGATGCTGCAACACTACTGACTCGATAGGTGGAGGGCGGAGCATCAGAACAAAACACAACATCAACATCAGTCAGGGCTGCAACTTCACTTTTTAAATGACAATATCCTGGCTGGACTACTGTTTTCAGTGATAGAAGTATTTGAAATGAACATGATTTCTTAATGTCTTGTGACATATCAGGGCCATTTTATGAGTATTTGAAATACTTTTCTTGCATACAGCTCCTTTAACTTCGCAACTCGACCATGGGGCGTCACTCCGCAAGTAGTAAATGGTATCTTCTTTGCCAGGCCACTGGAAGGCTTTCTTGTTTCAATGTTGAACCATACAGTCCGCCTGTATTTCCTCTGCCTGAATATTCAACACTTGGCCCACATATCGCTTCTCATCATATTTTACTTTCCCACTTCAAACGCTTGGTCTTGGTAACTTTCAACATCTTCATCCAAAAAGGACAGGGTAGGGATAGGGGTAACCTCATGAGCTGGACTGTCAACAGCCATTGTGACTTTTGTAACCATGAAGAAGCCACACACTTTTGGGTATCTGCAACTTACTGCCCTATGAAACACCTGTGGAGAAAATCTGGTGTCTACCTAGTATGTCAAAATCATGTTTAATCCTTTTGAAGCTTGTAGAGGTATTAGACACTTTTTTGATGAATCCCCTAAAACTGGACCTCCAGGTTGCCATTTTTTTTATACAAATATTTGTAAAGTTTGGAGTCTCAACGATCAGAAAACTCACCTTCTCTTTTCTGGTTACTGGAGGAGCCTTTCATCTATGCTCTCGGTTGGATTTAACGGACAGATCCTTTTTTCCTGGACTTGGCCTGATAGAGTGCTGATTGGACACAACGTTATTACTCTTGAGTCAGCTACTGAAGATTGTAGGGCCGGAGTTTAAAGGGTTAGTTCACCCAAAAATGAAAATGAAGTCATTAATTACTCACCCCCATGCTGTACCAACCCCGTAAGACCTTCGTTCGTCTTCGGAACACAAATGAAGATATTTTTGATTAAATTTGAGAGCTGTATAACTACCACATTGGCTCCTAAAGGACTGCCTCTTGACGGCCCAGAAAGTCAATGAAGAAAATGTTTAAATATCCCAAGTGACTACCGTGGCTCAACTATATGTTTATCAAGCGACGCGAATACTTTTTGTGCGAAAAAACAAACAAAAATAACGAGTTTATTCGACTATTTCTTTTCTTCCTTGTAGGCCAGAACGAGACTTCCTTAGATTTCCACGACGCATGCGCGAGAATTGCGATCTGAAGTGGTGTAAGCTGATGTGAGCAGATCGCAAATCTTGCGCATGCGTCGTGGAAATCTAAGGAAGTCTCGTTCTGGCCTACAAGGAAGAAAAGAAATAGTCGAATAAACTCGTTATTTTTGTTTGTTTTTTCGCACAAAAAGTATTCGCGTCGCTTGATAAACATATAGTTGAGCCACGGTAGTCACTTGGGATATTTAAACATTTTCTTCATTGACTTTCTGGGCCGTCAAGAAGCAGTCCTTTAGGAGCCAATGTGGTAGTTATACAGCTCTCAAATTTAATCAAAAATATCTTCATTTGTGTTCCGAAGACGAACGAAGGTCTTACGGGGTTGGTACAGCATGGGGGTGAGTAATTAATGACTTAATTTTCATTTTTGGGTGAACTAACCCTTTAAGGATGAAGCAGCTCTAGCTCAACACTTGAGAATCAGGTCCTTTTGTCTGGTTACCCTGTTGCTCATAAAATGGAAAGCTGCCCTTAAAACGACTGAAATAGACTCGTTAACAGAATATTGTGAAGTTTCCCGTTTCGAAACCCGAAGACTCTTTTCCTTGTTTGTTTTTGTCGACAAACGTTGAAGGGATTACTTCCCCTTTCTTCAAAAATGCTGTATCTCTGTGTAAAGACTTTTTTGAGTACTGGCAAATCTTTGTAGAGGTCTTGTGTTTTGGTGTTTAACAAAAAGTTTTTGATGCAAGAAAGCAAAAAACCTGGCTATATTTTTAGAAATCACAGTTGACCAGGAGAACAGGTGATTTGCAATGGAAAATTCTTCATGATGCTGTTGCGGGTAACGCTTCTCTTTCAATTTTAAACACTGGGGTTGCTTCTACATGCCTGTTTTGCTCTAGTAGAGAAACCATTTTTCATGCTTCCATGAACTGTTGTAGATTACAACCTTTATTCTTAGTTGTAAGTGATGTTTTTATGTGCAAATATGTGAGGGAAAAAAAGAGATATGTCAACTTCTGAATTTTGTTCTAAGCCAAGCAAAACTGGCCATTTAAGAAGGAAACAGAAAATATAGCAAAACATAAATCAGAATATAGGCTAGTTGCCTTGTTTTCTAACCTGGTGAAATCAAGAGTTATGGTTGATTTTCTTTTTTATAAGTCTTGTTAAAATTAAAAAAATCTCTCTCTCTCTCTCTCTCTCTCTCTCTCTCTCAGTCTCTCTGTACTGTGAATAGCAAAAACGCACCACAGACAAATGGTTTAATGGTATTAGAGAAATAGCTGGCGATTTCTTAATTTCTCCAGTACCGAAAGCAGAACCGATAACGTCTGAGTTTATCGGGGCCCGTTTAAGGCCGGGTTTCGGTACCCATCCCTAGTGATGACAACTTCTACCAATCAAGTTACAATGTTTTCTTCACAGTGTGATCCATTAAATATAATCTGCAAATAATACCTTTTTTTCTTTCTGTTAATTATTCTCCTCTTAATCACACAGAAAAACTCCTGGTGAAGCGACTGAGATCCATGTGACGCACTATTATAAAGATGGCATTTATTAAAGAGGAGAGTGAAGACATGAAGATGGAAGAGACATTCAGAGTCAAACACGAAGATACTGAGACACAAAGAAAGATGCCGTTTATTAAAGAGGAGAGTGAAGACGTGAAGATGGAAGAGACATTCAGAGTCAAATATGAAGATACTGAGGAACAAACAAAGATGGCATTTATTAAAGAGGAGAGTGAAGACGTGATGACTGAAGAAACATTCAGTGTCAAACATGAAGAAACTGAGGAACAAACAGGTCAGTTTCATTCTCAAAGTCTTTCTTTAGTCATTCTGTGTCATGCATCTCTTTATTGGATTTATTACATGCAACTCCTGTTACAAAATTAAATTTGCCAATACAGCTATTTTATATAACATTATTAAACCCAACATCTACTTCTGAATTAAAAACACTGAAAACCATTGTGGTATGTGGTGGTGGTAAGTTGGATTAGATGGCGGAGGAAGCTGGGCAGACTCAGAAGACCCAAGCGTACTTTAAGGGTACACTGGGAACATTGAGTCTCCTGTCAGAGAGATCTTCAACTCCCACCACCGGCGGAGCCACGACCGGATGCCGAGGGAGGCTGGAGATATTGAGTCTGAGATGACCATGTTCTCCACCTCCATTGTCGAAGCGGCTGCTCTGAGATGTGGCCGTAAGGCCTCCGGTGCCTGTCGAGGCGGCAATCCCCAAACCCGGTGGTGGACACCGGAAGTAAAGGATGCCGTCAAGCTGAAGGAGTCCTATCGGGCCTGGTTGGCTTGTGAGACTCCTGAGGCAGCTGATGGTGGTTATGGAGGCAAAAACTCTGGCCTGGGATGAGTTTGGTGAGGCCATGGAGAAGGACTATCGGTTGGCCTCGAAGAGATTCTGGCACACTGTCCGGCGCCTCAGGAAAGAGAAGCAGTGCCCTGCCAACGCTGCTTACAGTGCAAGTGGGCAGCTGTTGACTTACTTTAGGATCTTCTTAGTCCCTTCCTCACATCTTCCATCGAGGAAACAGACAGTCCCTCCAGAAAAACGCGATTATGCGATCGCTGAATTCAATGCAAAATCAGCCAAAGTCCGCATATTTATGCGGGGGCCGCATTTTTTCAAATAAGCCGCACTTTCGCCGCATAAAATGCCGATTTCCATGCAAAATATGCGGGGCTTGCATGATTTCATAATCCTCGCATTTTCGTTGCAAAAAAAGTCACATATATCTTCGCAGAAAGTTGAAAAATGTTGCGTTTGCTTCATACAAGAGCAGCCATTTCCTCCTGTTTCCATGGGAACGTTATGAAGTGACGCAATTACGCGACGGGATAGCTCACAGCTGAAGTTATTGCAGAGTCCAGAAAGACTCACGGAGGCGATTGACATCTCACAAATCGAACTCGTATAACTGTCTGTCACACGTTCTACCTCACATCGTTACTTAACAAACAAAATAAGATAAAAGAATAAGCATCAAACAGAAATTACCCGCACACGGGTGTTTGAGGCGCACACACTGCAGACAGTTCAGCGCGCAGCTCTTAAAGGGGCCACACCTTATTTACACTCGTTACAGTCTGAAATAAAACATTGCTGATTTTGTAATTGTGAAAGAGAATCTATTGTGCACTTATTCTTTGAATTTCCCTATTTTTCAATCTTTTGGAATGAGATGTCTCAATTTCTAGGTTTTAAAATGAATTGCAACCTTGTCTTAAATTTGTCATCTTCAAAAGGAATCTCTGCTAAAGGAATTTAATATGTCTGTGATGCCCTCTATCTTTATTTTTTTTTCTTTATTTTTTTCTTGTTTTTTTTTTCTTCCAAATTATTTTTCATGTTAAAAATTAAAATATTACAATATTTTTAAATTAAACTTTAATTTAAAAATTTACTTATCAGAAAATGTGTAAAAGAAATGTCAAGAACTTGATATCAAACTCTGTGATTTTGAAAATTTAATATTTAGATTAGAATATTAATTAAATATTCCCAGCACTTTCTATGACGTAGTATGCTTGCTACATCATAGAAAGTAATAAGAAATGACTCTTTACATTTAGGTAGTAGCCTAGTGAGAACAGGGTGTTGGGGGAATCACTTTTTTTCTCTTTTTCATCAAACCGCAGTTTTTGCAAGTTCCCGCAATTTTTGCAAGTTCCCGCAATTTTTGCAAGTTCCCGCAATTTCATCGCATAAAATTGCATAAATATCCCGCATATTCCATCGCATTTTTAAAGAAAACGGGCCGCGTAATCAAGGATTTTTGCCCGCAACAATCACAAAAAAACTCCGCGTTTTTCTGGAAGGACTGAAACAGAGTCTGTGGGTTCAGAGGTGGACTCGTCCATCACCCTAGCTAAAGTCAACAAGGTAGTCAAGAAACTCCTCTGTGGCAAGGCACCGTGGTGGATGAGATCCGCCCTGAGTACCTCCAGTCTCTGGATGTTGTGGGGCTGTCTTGGCTGACACGCCTCTGCAGCATCGCTTGGCAGTTGGGAACAGTGCCTCTGGGATGGCAGACTGGGGTGGTGGTCCCTCTTTTTAAGAAGTGGGACCGTGAGGTGTGTTCCAATGCCTCTGTGTCCCCCTGGAAGAGCTGGAGGAAGTGTCTAGGAAGAGGGAAGTCTGGGCATCTCTGCTTAGACTGCTGCCCCCGCAACCCGGCCCCGGATAAGCGGAATAAGATGAATGGAAAATCATTAATTCCTATAACTTAATTATACATAAAACATACAAATAAATAATCACACAGACAGCGGCAGGTTTATTAGGATGCCGTCTCTTTAAGACCTGATGCACTGATCCAATACATTAGAACAGACCGATTTCTTTCTTAAATGTTTACATTCACTTAAAAACATTCCCGATTGCGCTGGGATGTGGATTTTTAGACATTTTTGACCATTCAAGCGCAATAATCCATGAAAGAGAACTGAATTTGTTATTATTAACTTCTTAATCACGTCCTGTGCTTTATTTGCTCACTACATCATACTATGCTGGTTAAGCAGTTAGTCCTTGTGTCTAGGCACAGGTACTCCATCTGATCTGGATACGGCCCGGATCTGGCTCACTACATCCTGCGTTGTGGTCGTGTCTAGGCCCAGGTCCTCCATCTGATCTGAACATATTCCTTTAATTCAGATAATTCTTTTTTAAGCTGTGAGGGGAGTATTGCTTCCAAACAACTTTAAATTTGGTAATTTTAAGCCTCCCTGATTATAGTCTAAATCTAATTCTGTCAGGACCACAAATGTCAGATGATGAAAGTTAGCCTACAGTTTGGGTGGGCGTTATGGTTCTGTTTGGGGCAAAAACTCTCTGCCCAACCATGCAGCTTAACATAAAAGCATGGAGAGCAGCTTTAGGGTAAACGGAACAGAACAAGCAAATGTTTTGCAGATATCTTTAAAGTTCAATAACTTAACGTACAACAATTCAAGAAAAATGTGTCTGACTTTGGCTTCTAATGCTGTTTTAGAGATAATATATTTGACAAAATAATGCCACTGAGTTGCTGAATTTCCCACGAGCATACCGATAGGGATATGTCTGCCCTTGTCCAACTTGGCATCATTTAGGCATGTTCAGCGTCATCTTTTGCTGCATCACCCCCAGCAAATTTGGTGGTTTTTGGAAGATCTTTCTTAGGTTTAGAGCTATGGTCCATCACCCAACGATGAAAGCAAGCATCAGGTAGTCAAAAACGTTGAGTGTAAGCTCATTCAGTATGTGTTTAAAGTACTAAATAAGAAGAAAGGTTTAGGAGCTAGGAACTCCACGTTTGCTCATCTCTTCAGCATTGTGATCTCCCAGAGCTTACTTTGACCTAAGAGAACAGATCAGAGATGTCACCTCAACCCAGAGGTGCCAAAATTGTATCTGTTTGATATCAACAACTTTGTATTTGTTGCAAATTACAAAGTCCAGTTCTTTCCATTTTATTTCAGCAACAACTGATAAATTTGTCCAAATAACAGACTTTCCTTGTTTTGTACAGTAAAATGCCTCCTCTTCTCTCAACATTTGTTGACTCAATTATTCTTGTTCATTAAAATCTGTCCAGTGCACTATTGTGGGTTTTTATAAGGGCTAACTGCCTGCTTGAAAGTATTTGGGACAAATCCTAAAGAAAGGATTTTATTAGCAATATTGACAAGAGCTTCTGAGATTCTGAGTACACATTTTTCAGTTGTCTAGTAGGTATAGGATCTAGCATACATGTTGTTGGATTTGATGTTTTCATGTCAGTTTTTAGTGCCATTTAATTGGTATTAACTTTTTTCTGTTTCTTTTCACTCTAGACTTGATGGAGCTGAAACAGGAGAGTCAAAAACTGAATGAAAGGGAAGAGAAAGATCAGTGTGAGAAATTGCATGAATTTATGACTGTGGAAAAATCTTTTAGTTACTTACAGACTTCTGCAACAGAAACTAGAAACCTCGAGATGAGAGTTCACACTGGAAAGAGCCCTTTTACCTGCCAACAATGTGGAAAAACTTTCATTCGAAAAGACAGCCTTAAATTCCACTTGAGAATGCACGCCGGAGAGAAACCGTTCATATGCACTCAGTGTGGAAAGAGTTTTACACAGAAAAAAATCCTTAATGGCCACATGAAAGTTCACACTGGAGAGAAGCCTCACACCTGCCAACAGTGTGGAAGGAGCTTCACGATGAAAGGAAATCTTACAGCTCACATCAAAAGTCACACTGGAGAGAGGCCATTTGTTTGTGATCAGTGTGGAAAGAGTTACACACAGAAAAAAATCCTTAAAGCCCACATGAGAGTTCACACTGGAGAGAAGCCTCACTCTTGCCAACAGTGTGGAATGAGCTTCATGGTGAAAGGAAATCTTACGATTCACATGAAAAGTCACACTGGAGAGAAGCCGTTTGTTTGTGATCAGTGTGGAAAGAGTTTTACACAGAGAAAAATCCTTAAAATCCACATGAGAGTTCACACTGGAGAGAAGCCTTACACCTGCCAACAGTGTGGGAAGAGTTTTACGATGAAAGGAAATCTTACGATTCACATGAAAAATCACACTGGAGAGAAGCCGTATGTTTGTGATCAGTGTGGAAAGAGTTTTAAAATTAAAGATGATATTATTCACCATATGAGGATTCACACAGCGGAGAAAGGTTTTATATGTCATCAGTGCAATAGCAGTTTCTCAGACGGGAATCTCCTTGAGAATCATGTAAAAATTCACACCTTAGAGGAGCCTTACATGTGTCATCATTGTGGAAAGAGTTTAACAAACAAAGCAAACCTTGAGGATCACATGAGAGTTCACACTGGAGAAAAGCCTTTCACCTGTCCTCAGTGTGGAAGGAGCTTCAAGGTGAAAAGAAGTCTTACGATTCACATGAAAAGTCACACTGGAGAGAAGCCATTTGTTTGTGATCAGTGTGGAAAGAGTTTTACACAGAAAAAAATCCTTAAAACCCACATGAAAGTTCACACTGGAGAGAAGCCGCACTCTTGCCAACAGTGTGGAAGGAGCTTCACGATGAAAGGAAATCTTACGGCTCACATGAAAAGTCACACTGTAGAGAAGCCGTATGTTTGTGATCAGTGTGGAAAGAGTTTTAGATTTAAAGATAGTATTATTCACCATATGAGGAGTCACACAGCGGAGAAAGGTTTTATATGTCATCAGTGCAATAGGAGTTTCTCAGACGGGAATCTCCTTAAGAATCATGTAAAAATTCACACCGTAGAGGAGCCTTACATGTGTCATCATTGTGGAAAGAGTTTCAGAAACAGAGCAAACCTCGAGGATCACCTGAGAATTCACACTGGAGAAAAGCCTTTCACCTGTCCTCAGTGTGGGAAGAGCTTCGCGGTGAAAGGAAACCTTAAGAGCCACATTAGAGCTCACACTGGAGAGAAGCCGTACAAGTGTCTGCAGTGTGAGAAGAGCTTTAAATATCACTCAGACCTGAAACGGCATTTGAAAACTCATTCTGAAAAGAAATAGACATTTACCTTAGTGTGATGAAGTTTAGAAAAAGGAGAAATTCATCTGCGCATTCACTCTGGAGAAAGACAATTCAGTTGTGATCAATATAATAAAAGATTTACACTCACTTAAAGGATTATTAGGAACACCAAACTAATACTGTGTTTGACCCCCTTTCGCCTTCAGAACTGCCTTAATTCTACCTGGCATTGATTCAACAAGGTGCTGAGAGCTTTCTTTAGAAATGTTGGCCCATATTGATAGGATAGCATCTTGCAGTTGATGGAGATTTGTGGGATGAACATCCAGGGCACGAAGCTCCCGTTCCACCACATCCCAAAGATGCTCTATTGGGTTGAGATCTGGTGACTGTGGCGGCCATTTTAGTACAGTCAACTCATTGTCATGTTCAAGAAACCATTTTGAAATGATTCCAGCTTTGTGACATGGTGCATTATCCTGCTGGAAGTAGCCATCAGAGGATGGGGACATGGTGGCCATAAAGGGATGGACATGGTCAGAAACAATGCTCAGGTAGGCCGTGGCATTTAAATGATGCCCAGTTGGCACTAAGGGGTCTAAAGTGTGCCAAGAAAACATCCCCCACACCATTACACCACCACCACCAGCCTGCACAGTGGTAACAAGGCATGATGGATCCATGTTCTCATTCTGTTTACGCCAAATTCGGACTCTACCATCTGAATGTCTCAACAGAAATCGAGACTTAGACCAGGCAACATTTTTCCAGTCTTCAACTGTCCAATTTTGGTGAGCTCTTGCAAATTGTCACCTCGATGAGTGGTGCCCGGTGGGGTCTTCTGCTGTCGTAGCCCATCCGCCCCAAGGTTGTGTGTGTTGTGTCTTCTTCACAAATGCTTTGCTGCATACCTCGGTTGTAACGAGTGGTTATTTCAGTCAAAGTTGCTCTTCTATCAGCTTGAATCAGTCGGCCCATTCTCCTCTGACCTCTAGCATCAACAAGGCATTTTCGCCCACAGGACTGACCCATACTGGATGTTTTTCCCTTTTCACACCTGTGGTGGAAAATTTTAAACTGAATATTAAGCTAACCATGTTTTAACATTTGACCTCATTTAACCAGCTGAATATCTGAGACAATGTACTAAGACATTCTGTACTTCAGATGAATGTATGTGTGTCAAACACCTGACTCTGTATAAATAACAAATATGGGAAATGGAACTAGATAGATGACTAAGTTAGAAACATTAAAACAAAGTCTCCTCTACCCAGTAACAGAACAGTCTACCTATGAAGAACCAATGAAATTAATGTCATTATGGCATACCTCCATATTGTATAAAAACTGTTGTATCAGTGTTTTCGGGGGGATTCTCAATGGAATTTGTCTGAGATCCACCGGCCTTGTTTTTACTTGGGAAGTTCTCTGAGTATTGCTCGAGAACTCTCCTGTCCGTAATTAAAAGCATTGAAAGAAGATTTGCTGGAGTCTGTCATTTAAGCTGCGCAGCAAGAACAAGTAAGTTATAATTATTAGTACCTGGCAGGACGTCGACAGAAGTTGCGCTAGGGTTATAGGATTAGTACCCGGCAGGTCGTCGACTGTAGACGCGCTGATAATAAGACTTGGCCAACTAGAGTGAGTATTATTGTAGAGTAGTCCGGTTCAGGGAAAAAATCCATTACACACCATTCTTTGTAAACCCTAGAAATGGTTGTGCGTGAAAATCCCAGTAACTGAGCAGTTTGTGAAATAATCAGACCAGCCCGTCTGGCACCAACAACCATGCCACGCTCAAAACTGCTTAAATCACCTTTCTTTCCCATTCTGACATTCAGTTTGGAGTTCAGGAGATTGTCTTGACCAGGACCATACCCCTAAATACATTGAAGCAACTGCCATATGATTGGTTGATAATTGCATTAATGAGAAATTGAACAGGTGTTCCTAATAATCCTTTAGGTGAGTGTAACTTACAAATACAAATGAAAAGTCATGTACATGTGAGACCCTGTTTTTGTTCTTTATTTAAAGCCACACTGTGGAACTTTTTGAGAGACTGAGACTGAGAATGAAGAGATTATGAAAGGACATTTTAGGTACTAAAAAAGATACTCTCTTAAAGGTATAGCGGAGGATTTTCTTTTTCCGGGTGGGTAGTCTATACTATTGGTCCACCTAAGTGTCAATCATTCTGGTGATATGTTTACGTAAGGCCGTCGTAGGCTACGTGCTCATCCCTATGTAGTTTTCACTTTCATGTGTATTATGTCGGAGTTACGGTTTCAGCCATTCCTTTGAAAATGGCTGAGGGTCGAAAGAGAAAAAAACGTATACGAAGTGTATGATAAGAAGAGAAAGGCCGCAGAATATAGAAACAAGACCAGAGTGATTTTGGGTGAATATCACACGCTGGCGTGCGCTAAAAGCACAGGTTGGGCTTCTCACTGATGCCGCAGTCGCGAAGATTCTACCAGACAGGTAAAGTTTGTCACGCTATTTGGAGAAATCCATTTAAAATCACTAGTAAAAGTTAATGCAAGCTACAATGCTAGCCCTGGCATGAGTCATGCACCGCATAGACACGGTAAACATCTCAATTTGTCTAAAGTAGCCTTTTGTCCAAAATGGTAAATGGTGTCACGCTGAAATATTCTAAAATCTTGTGTGTTTATTATTACACAAATGCAACAAGCTACTTCTCCATATGCAACTATGTATAAAAATAACGTATTAACAATGAGAGATATTAGGTTAAGGACCAACGTAATAGCACTGCTTATATGTTGCTATGTAACGTAATTGCGATTTGCAAAATAGTTTCCTCAGAACGTATTTCGTGTGATACAGGGTTGCACATATCACGTCTCGAGTCCTTGGTCACTCAATCGATCAGTATAATAAGTAAATAAAACACGGAAGGGCATTTGACATGTTGTCTTTTTTATGAATGTTTTTTAGTTAGTTTAGAATTTGCAACATAATTGTGCAAGGCGTAATAGACGTTCCCTAGCTCTCGGGAGCAAGAGTGTTGTGTTTGTGCATGTGCATTTTTTTTTAAAAATTGGAGAGGGCGGGTCTTCTCTAAAATTCGGAAAGATCCTCCGCTATACCTTTAATTTCTACAGATTCCAGCATCACTAGAAAACTTTCAACTGCGATCATACAAACCTCTGAATTTTAAAGCAGTAATAAACGCTACATAAACTAACAACAAGGCACAGTTTGCACTGTAAAACCATGTTGTTGGAATTTTCCTCTTTAAAAACAAAATAGCAGCAGAATTTCAAAGAAATTAAAGCATTTTTACCTGTGGGCAGCATCGTTTCTAGCAGCAGTGATTCAATCGGTGTCTGAGGAGATTGTTGGCGAGAGCTGTTATTTTACGCAGCAGGTGGCACACGTGACTCGTGTCGCAAGCATAGACAGTAAGGTCGCGAGTCATTAATATAGTTATTATGCCAAAATACAGATTTACTTAGTTTTAAATGACACCATTGTAATCCTGAAAGTATCCCCCTCTTTTTCAAAAAGTAACTATAATCTGATTACTATGTTTTTGATGTAACTGTAACAAATTACAGTTAGTAGATTTTTTAATCCTGATTACATAACGCTGTTACATGTATTCCGCTACTCCCCAACCCTGCGTATGTGTTAACTTTGCAAACATGGACTGTATAAAAGAAGGGGACGAAGAAGAGATCTTCGCTCTTCCTTGCAATCACCAACCTAAAACGCCAGCAGTTGTCAGGCGCAAGAAGCTTCAAGCCTAGCTAGTATCCATCTGTTGGTTAATACTCATTTATGATCTGCAACAAGTATTCATTTTCATTTGATTATTGTAATACATTTTGTAACATTTATTATAATCATCTGACTGGACCTTGGATCATTGAGTAGAAGAGTCCCACTCTTCTAATTGGGCCGGGAGGACCCTTCCTGAAGAGAACGACATAAGAGGGTGAGAATTATTCTGAGATAAGAATAACCCATGTGAGATTTGATTGATCAAAATAGCCTAGCCAAAGAGGCAGCATATAACAAGAGTATATGTATAAGGATATATTTATGACTAATTGTTATGATGTAAATAAGGTTGAAGAGTACCACAAAAGGTAGACTTACAATATAAAGGGGAAATCTATTATTTCAGTAATGGAATACGAATTTATCTAGACTGATCACCTAACTCTTGAGGACACGACTAAAGGATAGACTGTTTAGATACCGCGAGATTATATTAATATCAAGGATGTGATATTGTATAATTAGGAATGGTATTAATCGTGAGATTCCATCACATGGGGGCTCGTCCGGGATTATCTTTGGATAATAAAGACCCGGAGCAAAAAGTGAATTTGATCAATCACAGCTGGATGACCCAAAAAGCTTCGCTATAAATAGGGGATGCCGTATTGCAAGAAAAGCTAAATAAACCGCGTGGCAGAACCTTGAGTATCTGACCAAAACTAACGATAAACCCTAAAGTAAAGGGATTGAGTAATTTCCTTAAGAAAAGGGAATGATTGTTTTCCCTAGTCCCAGTCTGTACCAAGGAAGGTAACACGGAATGGTATACGTATAATGGTACACCTCGGCAGCTGACGTGAGGGCCATAGTTGAAGGAATATATCCCGAAAGGGCGAACAGAGAAAAAATTAAAATTCACTTAGATCAGTTAGAACTACTGACCTTCATTTATTTTCAGGAACACACATTAAGATGGGTTTGATGAAATCAGAGAGGTATCTGAACCACACAGACCACAACGTCATTACAACTTCCAGGGCCCAGAAAGGTAGTGAAAACCTCATTAAAGTAGTCCATGTAACTCCAGTGGATCAACCTCAATGTTATGAAGTGATGAGAATACTTTTTGTTCTAACGTAGAACCTGGAAGCGATGCACTGTTTACTACAGCGTCAGAGATTGACACAGAAGAGAAGAGATTTCGTGGCTTCATAACATTAAGGTTGATCCACTGTAGTCACATGGTCTATTTTAACATTGTCTTAAAGGGATAGTTCACTTTGAAATTAGTTTTTGATATGTTTTAGCTTACCTCAAGGGCATCCGAGATGTAGGTGTCTTTGTTTGTGTGAGAAAACGAACAGTATTTATAAACAATGATTTTGTATTTATAAACAATGAATTCTCATAAACAATGGCTTTGTTTCATCAATTTTAACACACTGATCTCTTGATTTA